TTGCAGGAAGGACTGCCCATGGGTAGCAGCAACCGAACTGCAGGCCAATGCTACCAGAGCTTATCCAGCAGGAAAAACACTGTAGCCTGTGCTGGGTCAAAATTCAGACCCAAATACTCAATCCTCTTAGTCAGAGTCGGAGCAGACTTCTGAAGGTTCAGGACACAGCCAAAGTCCTCCATTGGGCGCATCATGAGCACCACATCGTCCATCACCACAGATGCCCCCGTTCACAAGAGGCAGCCATCTAGACCACCAATCCTGACAATCACCCATTGTCCCAACAATGCTAGGACTGAAGCATCCCAGTAAACCCCGAGGGGTGGAGGCCAGTCCAAGAAGGAGCACCACAAATTGAAATTACGCATCCCCAACCACAAAGCGTAAGAAATGCTGGAACCCAGCACAGAAGGGAACGCGCAGGCGCATCCTTGATGTCTATGGAGGCCGTAAGGATGGAATCCCTGTGAATTTCTGTACCTTTACAAGGCAATTCAAGCCCTGAGGTCTAGAATCAGATGACCTCCTGCCTTCTCTGGAATCGCAATCAGGTTGGAGTGAAATTCCACAAATCCATTCCGAGTCCGAAACCGGTGTAAACACTCCCAGATGAAGCGGATTCAGTTCACGCTGGAATTTAGGGCCTTTTTAGACATCTGGGCTACAGACCACTATTTGAGGCAAGGAACACTAAAAGCACCACCGGTCGAGAAAGAGAGCTGTAGAGATCAACAGGGCCACGTCTGAGGACGCATCATGCTCATACATTGGCCCTGGACCAACCGGTCCACAAGTCCCACATAGGCCAGCAACACTAGCTCTTTACCCAGACCAAGGCGCAAGAGCGAAGCCCATCCAGTAAGCAGTAAAGACTCCAGGGCCCAGGCAGGAGGAAAGATCCACTGCTCCAGGAGGACCTTCTCAAGGAGAGATGCACTCTATGACACACAGGCCCTACAGAAGGATGCTCCGCATGTACCCATTTCTTAGCCGGGAGAACATCAAGATAGCTAGGGCAAGGAAACTCTTTGATGAACCGAGACAGCAAAAGAAAAAAAACGGTCTATGAGGGCTCAGAGGAATAGCAACACAGGACCGTTCTGCAGTAGGAAAAGTGCACAAACAGATACCTGGGAGGATACCTGGGAGGGGAATATATAGGCCTTTAGTTGATACAGCAACACAAGGCAATGGAAAGGCACAGCCCACAAAGCCACTGCTCCCCTGGCACCACACAGCAGACACTGCAGAAACATACCAGCAGCACAGGCAGGGCTGCAGTGGCAGCACATCGGGACTGCACAAGGAAAGCCGCCCCCCAACTTACCCCATCCTGCAAAACCAAGCTCATGCTGTAACTTGTTTCAGCTGTCAGCTATCTCTTCCAAGAAAGTGTTAAAAACCGAGCAGCTTCTGTCATGCAGAAGTCTCACTGTCATGGGTATTTGCATCGGTTTTGGCCTTGTTGAGAAGAACAGAGCTGGGTCAAACCACATAAAAGAGCAGGCATCAGGCGACGGGAAACGTGCCGGTACCATCCGCCTCTCACTGTTCCGCCAACCCAAAGACCTGGGTCAAAATACTGCCGCAGGCAGCTAGAAGGCAGAGCGCAGAGGAAACAACAAACCAGGAAGGGCGAATGCCCTCAGGCAAAATTGCATTGCAGACATACCTCTGAAAATACATGCAAGAACCAAAGGACACTAGGCGTGACATCTGAAGGCGGTGTCCGCCCAGCACAGCACCGCCTGTACATTGGAAGCCTGCCTCCAGCTCCAAGACACAGTACAAGCAGAAATTACATCAGGGCAGGTCGGATGCCCTAAAGCCAAATAGCAGGCATACCCACCGCCCCAGTAGGCAGCATGCAATGCAAAGTCACGAGCGGCCAAAAAAGGACGTTGGCCAGGAAGGGGAGTCACTAGGGCCCCCCCACCTGGGCAGGCGAAGCAAAAAGACACTCATACAGTCCACCCATTTCAGTCCACTCAGATGAGCCACAAAGCCCAGGTCTAAAGTTCCTGGAAGTCTGACAGGCAGACGGGGGGGTTTGAAACGAGGTACAGAAGCAAAAGCCGAGTAGGAGATGTCCAGAACACCTCCTATCCCCCAAGCAGCAGTGGATGGGAGCAAGTTAAATATCCCTGTGGGTTCCGCTTTAAAAGAGGAGTATACTTTTGTTTTTTTAAATCATATGCACCTAGGTGAATGCAGCATCGATCTGAGGGTGAGAACTGAGCAATCAGACACTGTTGATTGCTCAGTTTCCCCTGCCACTCTGAGCAGAGAGCAGTGACTGTAAGTCAGCACTGTCTATTCTGCCCACCCCCAAAACTCACTGGAGCTCTGGGCTGTGGAGGGTTTGGTTCGGCTGGCTCAGGCTCTCAGTGGTTCGCAACTTTAGCCCGCTATCTGTTGAAAACGGGTAACAAGAGTGGGAAACAAACTGCACTCTTGTGATCCACAGCCAAATGAGATTCATTACGAGCTAAATTACACGTTGTCCTTAGGGACACGCCTTTAATTTAGTACATTGTTTTAATACTCACATTTAATGCTCAGATTTTTCATTATAAACTGGCAACTGGACAAAATATGATTAAAAAAAAGAAACTTATAATAATCTTCTTAAAATGGTTGTAAACCATAGAAATATGAACAAAGCATATACCTCTATAGTGTGTGCTTGTCTCATTTAAGAGCACTTAGTGTCATTTCTGCCTGCTGCTTTGTTCCATCAGTTTGAATCTCTTCTGGCAAGTATTCCTGACACCAAGAAAAAAAAAAAAAGGTGACCAGAGGGAGCTCCAGCACACAGACTGTGATTGACAGTCTCAGATCCAATCCTGTGTGAAAGGGGGGGAGGGTGTCCCTTCCCTACAATCGGCTGTCAGAATTCTGCTCAAAGAGCTCTGCACAGTGTAATTTCAGCTCTCCACCCATTTTTTCTGACAGCTGGGACAAGCTGTATAAACTCTGGACTCTGAACATAAGTAGAAAAGAGAATACCGCAGATAAAGAGGTACAACTTATATAGGAGGATTTGTTTAATCTCTGTGCTTCACCTGAGGGCGGTCAGTTGACTGGGTATGTGTAAGGGTTCACAACCACTTTAAATGTGTTTTTATTTTTAACAGGTGTGTTATTATCCTAAAGGCTTCTAGCAAATTGCCTCTCTCTGGTGGTTTTATTCCCAATTACTGTACTTGACAGAGCCGCATCAGTCAGCTACAGCATATATGTAACATGTTCCCAATGCTGCAGCTGCTGTCCAAATTCCCCCCCCCCCCTTTCCTATGACAGCAGTACGGGGAGGAGTTCCCCGTACTAGACGTCAGTTTTTTAAATCAGCGCCATTGTGTGGGGCTACGCCCACAAGGCTGCGTCATTCATTCACGAAGTCCCGACAGCCTTAGCGGCCATCAGCTTGTAGTTCTCAATGAAACGCCATGGTAGTTCATTGATTCTTCCTGTTAGTATATCATCCCGTAAGGGCAAGCAGATATACTGACAGGTCTGCAGGAGACCTGCATGGCACCAGCAATCTGCTGATCGCTGGTGCATTGCTTCACAGGCTCCTGCAACAAAACTTAATGCACATTTTTTTGCCTGCATAAAAATGTGCATTTATTATTTTTTGTCAAAAGGAGAACTTATCATTTAAATATCTAGAAACAAATCCACAGTATGGAGAATTGGGCTGTGTGATATTTATTTACAAAAAGGCAGCCCATAGAGGGTTAATAAATACATAATTAGATTGAATAGTGATCATTTAAGATCTAAAAGGGAATCAACTTTAACCACTTCAATACCAGGCACTTTTACCCCCTTCCAGCGCTTTTGCACTTTGAATGACAATTGCGTGATCATGTAACTCTGTACCTAAACTAAATTTTTATAATTTTGTTCACACAACTAAAGCTTTCTTTTGGTGGTATTTAATCACCACTGGGTTAATTTTTTGCTAAATTAACAAAAAAAAAAGACTGAAAACTTTGAAAAAAAAAAAGCATGTTTTTCTTAGTTTTTTATTATAAAATTTTACAAATAAATAATTGTTCCTCATAAATTTAGGCAAAGATGCATTCTGCTACATTTCTTTTGTGAAAATAACCAAAATCAGTATTTATGTAGTCTGTAGAAAAGTTATAGAGTCCACAAACTATGGGATAGATCTGGAAAAAAAAAAAAATCAAACAATCCTGAAGTACTGACGACCAATCTAATTTCTTGAGGCCCAAAATGTCAGAACAGTATAGAAATCCCCCAAATGACCCCTTTCTGCAAAGTAGACAGTCCAAGGTATTTCATAAGAGTCATGGCGAGTTTTTTGAAGTTGTAATTTGTCATAATTGTTTAGAAAATAAAGAAATTAAAAAAAAAAATGTTCACAAATCTTTGTTTTGTTTTACACACACTCTCACCAGTGCAGTACAGCGTCATCATATAAATGGTGTGGCAGTGATCAGGGACACTTACTGGTGATCGTACAAAAAAAAAAAAAAAAGTTTAAACTTTTTTCTATTACTTTTTTTTCACAATTTTTTTTTCCATAACACACTGTGACCAGAGTAGTATAATGTTACCATAATTGCAAAGAATTGCTTTGCTATAAGCAAGCATTTAACGGAATGAAATTGATTCATTCAGGTTTGTGATTAGCTGTGATTGGCCAAAGCTACATCACATGACACAGATGGGCTGCGATCGGGCCAGTCTGTATGTGATCACTGTGACCAATCACGGCTAGTGTCGCAACTGTATACAATGGATGACTTGAAAGGAAGCCATCCATTGTTTGCAATGGTCATGTGACCAGCTGTGATTTGTCACAGAGGTCACATGGTACTGGCAACAGGCCGGCACACAGATCTCGCCACAGTGCGGGCACACGCAAGGCACGATCCGGGAGGACATCATATGACACCCACCCACATCGACGAGAGTCCCGCTCGGCCGTCATTTTGCTGGGCGGGAACAGGTGAAAGCTTAGAAATTTATAAATAAAAAAAATACCTTGATAGTCTCTTCAATTCACCATTAATTTCAGAGTTAAATGGCTCCAACTTCTGAGCTCTTAGAAGAAACGTACGAGCCTTTTCATACTCTTTCAACTCAAGACATGCCTGTCACAGGAAAATAAAACAAAGAAACAGTTGAATGTGTTTAAACCTTAATGTAAATAAATGTTGCAAAAAAAAAAAAAAAAAGACACGCACGCGCGCGATGAGCAGAACAAGGATGATGAAGGGACTGGATGTTTTTTAACTTAAAATTAGCATTTTCTAAAAACAAGAGATCTTAGGTCCCCAAGAATATTTAAAAAGGATAAGTTCACCTTTGAGAACATGTTACATGTTTCACCCGTTTTTGGGGTGGAACATGTAAGATGTTCCCGCAGCCGTCACCCCTCACTCTGACAGTACGAGGAGAAATCTCCCCATACTATCTGTCAGATTTGAAAACAGCACGGCCGTGCAGGGCTCTACCCACACGACCACATCATTCATTCAAGGACTTCAGTGTATGAATGAACTGCAAGTCCCGACAGCCTTAGCAGTGCTGTGGAGCACCATGGTAGTTCATTGAAGCTTCCTGTCAGAATATCTTCTTGCTAGTACATCTCAGCAAGCAGACTTTCTGACAGGTCAGCAGGAGACCTGCATGGCATCAGCAATCTACTGATCACTGGTGCAATGCTTTCCAGGCTCCTGTAGACAAAAATAATAAATGCACATTTTTTTTTTACCTGCAAAAAAAAAAAAAAAAAATTATGCATTTATAATTTTTGTCTAAAAGGTGAACGTATCCTTTAACCACTTGGTCTCCGGAAGATTTACCCCCAGGCCCCCACCCAGTCCATTTTTTGCTATATGGCACTGCATTACTTTAACTTACAATTGCTCGGTCATTTGATCAACACAGGATTTTTAAATTTTTTGAGCTATAAACAAAATAGATAAGCAAACAATATTTTTTACTTTCTGCTATAAAACATATCCAATAAAAAAAAGGTAAAAATAAATTAAATGTCATAAATTTAGGCCAATATGTATTTCGCTACATATTTTTGGTAAAAAAAGTCCCAATACGTGTATATATTTATTGGCTTGCGCAAAAGTTATAGCGTCTACAAACTATGGTATATATGCTGGAATTTTTATTTATTTTTGTTATACTAGTAATGGTGTCAATCAGCGACTTATAGCGGGACTGCGATATTGCAGCGGACAATTTGACACTGACAGTTTGTGGGAACCAGTGAAACTAATACAGTGATAAACACTGACACTGCTAAAAATATACACTGTCACTGTACTAATTACACTGGCGGGGAAGGGGTTAAATATCTAGGGTTAACTGTGTGCCTAGCCAGTGTTTATGCGTGTAGTAAGTAGAGCTTTTACTAAGGGATGTGCTGGACTTTATTCCCTGCCTTGCAAGGAAACAAAATTAAGCACATCGCTGCTGACAGGACACAGCTCTGCCTTGTTTACATAGGCAGAGCTGCGTTCTGTCTCTTTCCTCGCTGACCAGCAGGTGCTGGCAGTCATCCATTGGCCACTGACAATTCTTTCCCTACTCTTCTTCTCTGACTGTTTTTCACTAGTTTTGCATTTGGCTAGGGTCAGTGTCACTACTGGTAGCATGAGGCGATACCTGGACCCTACAGAGGTTGCAGACAGTCCAACTCCTCCAGGATGGCACATCAATACTTGCCATTGCCAGAAGGTTTGCTGCGTCTCCCAGCACAGTCTCGAGAGCATGGAGGAGATTCCAGGAGACAGGCAGTTACTCTAGGAAAGCTGAACAGGGTCATAGAAGGTCCTTAACCCAATAGACCTGGTATCTGCTCCTTTGTGCAACAAGGAACAGGATGAGCACTGCCAGAGCCCTACAAAATGACCTCCAGCAGGCCATTGGTGTGAATGTCTCTGACCAAACAATAAGAAACAGAGTTCATTAGGGTGGACTGAGGGCCCGATGTCCTAGTGGGCCCTGTTCTCCCTGCCCGGTACCATAGAGCTCAATTGGCATTTGCCATTGAACACCAAAATTGGCAGGTTCGCCACTGGTGCCCTGTGCTTTTCACAGATGAGAGCAGGTTCACCCTGAGCCCGTGACAGACGTGAAAGGGTCTGGAGAAGCCGTGACGTAACATCGTTCAGCATGACCGTTTTGGTGGTGTGTCAGTGATGGTTTGGGGAGGCATGTCCATGGAGGGACTCACAGACCTCTACAGGCTAGATAATGGCACCCTGACTGCCATTAGGTAGTTAGGAAATCCTTGGACCCACTGTCAGACCCTACGCTGGTGCAGTGGGTCCTGGGTTCCTTCTGGTGCACGACAATGTCCAACCTCATGTGGAGAGAGTATGCAGGCAGTTCCTGGAGGATGAAGGAATTGATACCATTGAATGGCCCCCACGCTCGCCTGAGCTAAATCCAATAGAACACCTCTGGGATATCATGTTTCGGTCCATCCAACGCCGTCAGCTTTCTCCCTCAGACTGTCCAGGAGCTCAGTGATGCCCTGGTCCTCATCTAGGAGGAAATACCTCAGGACACCATCCGTCGTCTCCATTAGGAGCATGCCCCAACATTGTCAGGCATGCAAGCAAGCAAGTGGAGGCCATACAAACTACTGAGTACCATTTTGAGTTGCTGCAATGAAATTTCAGCAAAATGGACTAGCCTTCTGTATCATTTTTTCACTTTGATTTTCGGGGTGTCTTTGAATTCAGTCCTCTGTAGGTTGATAATTTTCATTTCCATCAAACAATAGGGCATCCTTACATTCCAAACACATTACCCAGTCCATATCAGTATAGATATCCAGCATGATGTTTTTCCCCATTGAGTTCTGATGTTTTCAAAGTTCCCCATTGAGTTCTGATGTTTTTAATTTTTTTGAGCAGTGTACATGATTTTGCACACAGCGGCCATCCTATAGCAGTAAAGCTGCTGGTTAAAGTAATAACGCACTTTCGAAAGCAGTGTTCTAGAGATATCTCCTTCTAATGTTATATAAGGAACAGGTAAATCAAGTAAGGGACTAAAAAGAACAAATCCTCAACAGCTCCCTTTGTGATCCACAATCAAATTTAAAAATAATCAAACATACAGTACTGTGCAAAAGTTTTAGGCAGGTATGAAGAAATTCTGTAAAGTAAGAATGCTTTCAAAAATATGTATTTTAAATTGTTTAGTTTTATAAATTTAAAAATGCAAAAAAAAGAAAAATCTAAATCAAATCAACATTTGGTGTGACTACCCTTTGGCTTTAAACCAGCGTCATTTCTTACACTTGCATACTTTGTACACTTGCACAGTCAGGGATTTTGTAGGATAAGAGTCAGGTGTATGATTAACAAATTATACCAAGCGCTAATGATCGCCAATTAACATACGTAGGTTGAAACAGTCAATAACTGAAACACAAACAGCAGTGTAAGAGGCTTAAAATTGGATGAGGAACAGCCAAGCTCTGCTACTATGGTGAGGTTGTGGAAGACCGTTTCATGTTACAGGTCATAAACCATGGCAAGAGTGAGCACAGCAAGGGACAAGGTAGTTATACTGCATTAGCAAGGTCTCTCCAAAGCAAAGATTTCAAAGCAGACTGGGATTTCAAAATGTGATGATCAAGCTCTTTTGAAGAAGCACAAAGAAACAGTAAACACTGAGTACTGCACATGCAGCGGTCCGGCAAGGAAACAATGCAGCAGATGAAAAACTCTTCACCCTTACTTCCTTTTGACCAGCAGTGCCATCAGCACAGAACTGGCGGAAACCAGTGGGACCCAGTACACCCATCTACTATCCAGAGAAGTCTTGCCAGAAATGATCTTCATGGAAGAATTATGGGCAACAAGCCATACCTCCGATGTGAAAACAAGGCTAAGCGACTCAACTATGCATGAAAACATAGGAACTGGGGTGCAGAAAAATTATAGCAGGTGCTCTGGACTGATAAGTCAAAATTTGAAATATTTGGCTGTAGCAGGAGGCCGTTTGTTTGCTGCAGGGCTGGAGAGCAGTACAATAATGAGTGTCTTAAGGCAACAATGAAGCATGGTGGAGGTTACTTGCAAGTTTGGCACTGCATTTCTGCAAATGGAGTTGGAGATTTGGTCGGGATCAATGGTGTCCTAAATGACAACAAGGAGGCATGTGACTGGCCTCAGATATATTCTGCAGCAGGACAATGGCCCCCAAACATACAGCCAAAGCCATTAAGAACTATCTTCAACGTAAAGAAAAAAAAAAAAAAAGAAAAAAGAAAAGAGTCCTGGAAGTGATGGTTCGGCCCCCACAGAGCCCTGATCTCAACTTCAAGTCTGTCTAGGATTACATGAAGAGACAGAAGGATTTGAGGCAGCCTATATTCTCAGAGGATCTGTGATTAGTTCTCTGAGATATTTGGAACAAACTACCTACCATGTTCCTTCAAAAATGGAGTTCAAGTGTATCTAGAAGAATTGATGCTGGTTTGCAGGCAAAGGGTGATCACACCAAGTATTGATTTGATCTGGATTTCTCTGCTGTTCATTTACTTTACATTTTGTTCATTTATAAAAAAAACTATTAAGACTTCTATTTCTGAAAGCAATCTTAATTTACAGCATTTTTTCACACCTGCCTAAAACTTTTACACAGTAGTATACATACATACAAAAACAACAAATCTTAGGCAACAATACTGCCTAGCTGGTCACTTAAATTAAGATGAGTTCAATGGAGACCTGGTCATCTTCCCTCTATCCAGGAGAATTTCTCTGGATTTTAGAGTACCACTTTCAAGGTGTGGGGCTTACAGACCATTACTCTTTTTTGTGCCTCATTATTCAAAAAAAGATATCAAAAGCATGGTAAATGTGAAATATAAACAAAAATTCTGACATTTTTCAGCACAAGTAAATGAGTTGCAAGAGAACGGAGCCAAATAATTCCCAGAAATGTTCTTGCATGGACCCAAATTTTGCCCTTAAGGCCAACATAACTTTCAAAAACACAATGAACGTAAAATACAAGCCAATGCAATGCACATGTGTTTTAAGTGTGAATGAGCTGCCAATTGGATGTAACTGGTTTCATGCTCTAAAACAGACTCGAACACACAACATTTAACCGTTTCAATACCGTGCAATTTTACACCTTCCTGCCCAGGCCATTTTTCAGGTTTCAGCGCTCTCACACTTTGAATGACAATTGCGCGGTCATACAACACTGTACCCAAACTAAAATTTTATCATTTTCTTCACACAACTAGAGCTTTCTTTTGGTGGTATTTAATCACTGCTGGGGTTTTTATTTTTTGCTAAATTAACAAAAAAAGACCAAAAATTTTGAAAAAGAAACACATTTTTCTTTGTTTCTGTTATAAAAGTTTACAAATAAATAATTGTTCTTCATAAATTTAGGCCGAGATGTATTCTGCTACATGTCTTTGGTGAAAATAACCCAAATTAGGATGTATTTTTTAGTTTGTAGGAAGGTTATAGAGTTCACAAACTATGGTATAGATCTGAATATTGATCAATCCTGAAGTACTGACAGCCAATCTAATTTCTTGAGGTCCAAGAATGTCAGAACAATACAGATATCCCACAAATGACCCCTTTTTGCAGAGCAGACAGTCCGACGTACTTCATAAGAGGCATGGCGAGTTTTTTGAAGTTGTATTTTTTTTGTCATAATTTTTCGGAAAATGAAAAAAATCAAAAAAATTATTTTCACTATTTTTTTTTTTACATACTGTCACCAGTGCAGTACAGCGTCATCATATAACTGGCATGGCGGTTGACAGGGACACTGACTGGTGACAGTATGAAAAAAAATATATATATTTTTTTTTTTAATTTTTTTTTTTTTTTATTATATTTAATTTTTTATTACATTTTTTTTTATTTTTTTTAAGATTTTTTTTTCATATTTTACTATGACCAAAGTAGTACAATGTTACCATAGTAACATTGTACTACCTTGGGGAAGTGATCAGTATTTTTTTTTTTTTTTTTTTTTTTTACACAATTTACTTATAGCAAAGAATTACTTTGCTATAAGCAAGCATTTACCTGAATGAAATCGATTCATTCAGCTTTTCTTTTTTTTTTTTTTTTTTTTTTTTGTGCTTAGCTGTGATTTGGTCACAGCTAATCACATGACATGTGCATGTGATTAGCTGTGACCATTCACAGCTAGGCACTAGTATACAATGGATGGCATCATGAATGAATGAACTGTCATGTGACCTGCTGTGATTGGTCACAGCAGGTCACATGGTACCAGCAACGGGAGCTGGTACTCGGATCTGTCATCGGCCGTGTCCGAGGTGCACGGCCGGTGACAGATCGCACTGCTGCGCCGCTCTGCATTAGCGCAAACTGCGCATGTGTGCGGGAGCACGCCAAATGGCGTGCACCCGGAGTGAAGAGACACATCTGAAGCCACCAAACGGCCATTGGCCGGGCGGCTAATGGTTAAACCATTTACAAGCTATAATTACCTGTCCGCATCGAAACAGAGCTTTAACATTCTTGTTATCTATTGCCAGAGCCTTTTCACCCCACTCCAGACTGTTGCGTGGACGCTCTAACCTCAAGTATGTGAGTGCCAAATTTAAATTCACAGGTAGCCGAGCTGTCTCAAGCTGTCTCCTCTCCTCCTCCGACTTTCCCAGACGTGACAGATAAAAGGATGCCTATATGTATAAGGAAATAAACATTTAGATGATTTAAACTCATGTTTATAATCAGCACCAATGCATAATCAGAGACCGCACATTTTATTAGAGAATGAAGCTGAACTCAGTCCCTAAAACAAGAGAACACTAGAAACAAATGATGCCCATCAGACTCAACCACTTGGCGACTGCTCCATAGCAGATGTACTGGTACACGGCAGCCGTGCTGTGCAAAATCACATAAACATATGTGATTTTGCATCCCCTGGAAGGGAGCACACGCGTGCGCTGCCCTACCCGCGCTATTGGCTTCTGAGGATGTCAATCACCGGGCCCCAGCAAAGCTGAGGGGGGAGAGATCTGTGTGTAAACAACACAGATCTCTCTCCTGTCAGAATGGACATGCTGCTCTCTATCTCAATGTACAGCAGCAGGTCTCTCTAATAAAACAACACAGTACACAGTCTAATCCAGGGGTGGGCAAACTTTTTGACTTGAGGGCCGCAATGGGTTCATATATTGGACCCGGGGGCCGGACCAAGAGTAGATGAATGATGTGTATGTGTCATCCATAGTAAGTATAGTAATATTCCCCCATAGTAAGCATAGTAATTAATCCCCCATATAGTAATTAATCCCCCATAGTAATTAATCCCCCATATAGTAATTCATCCCTCATATAGTAATTCATCCCCCATATAGTAATTCATCCCCCATAGTAATTCATCCCCCATATAGTAATTCATCCCCCATATAGTAATTCACCCCCATAGTAATCATCATCCCCACTATAGTAATTCATTCCCCATATTAATTCATCCCCCATATTAAGTCCCCCATATAGTAATTCATCCCCCATAGTAATTCATCCCCCATAGTAATTCATCCCCCATATAGTAATTCATCCCCCCTATAGTAATTCATCCCCCCTATAGTAATTCATCCCCCATATTAAGTCCCCCCTGTGTCAATTCACTTACCTTTGCTCCGCGCGTTCCTCTCGCCGTGTTCCCGCGCCGTTCCGGTGTAGCATGAAAATCTGTCTCCTATGAGGATCTGTCCCCCTCGACGTATCTGCGCATGTGCCAGTTTCAGGCATTAGCAGCCGATCGGCGATCTCCGGCACATGCGCAGATATGTCGAGGGGGAAAGATCCTCATAGGAGACAGATTTTCATGCTACACCGGTCTTCAGGGCGGACTGTGAGAGGAGCCTAGCTTCCCTCGCGTTCGTCACGCTGCCCAGCCTGCACACATCCCGACAGCCATCCTGACAGTATCACGCTCCGCGGGCCGGATTAAAAGGTCCGCCGGGCCGGAATAAAAGGTCCGCCGGGCCGTATACGGCCCGCGGGCCGTAGTTTGCCCATTGCTGGTCTAATCACTCCCTAACACACAGTTAAACCCTTTGATCTCCCAAGATGTTAACACCTTCCTGCTCAGTGCCAGTGTCAGTGCTTTTAATTAGCACTGATTACTGTATTAGTGTCACTGGAGATGTCAGAGGCAGTTCGTTCCCACCCAGTGTCAGAATTTCCGCCGCAGTCCCGCAATAAAGTTACTGAACGCTGCCATTACTAGTATAAAAAAAAAAAAAATTTAAGTAAAAAGTCCAGTATATATAATCGCCATTTGAAGATACTATAACTTTCACATAAACCATTTAATATACACTTACTGGGATTTTTTGTTAAAGACATGTAGCAGAATACTTGTTGGTCTAAATTTATGAAAAAATTCTTTTTTTTTTTTTGATTGGATGTTTTATAGCAAAAAGTCAAAAAGTTTTTTTTTTTCAAAACAGTCTTTTTGTTTATAGCGCAAAATATAAAAAACCGCAGAGGTGATAAAATACCACCAAAAGAAAGCTCTATTTGTGGGGGGGGATGACAAATTTCATTTATGTACAGCGTTGCATGACAGCGCAACTGTCAGTTAAAGTAGGGCAACGCCGTATCGCAAAAAATGGCCTGGTAAGGAAGGGGGTTAAATCTTCCAGAGGGCAAGTGGTTGATATCACTTTATATAAAAATATTACATCTTTTATTGCTTATAAAAGTTAAAACTGAGGTGGAAAACACATATAGTCATATAGTAGAGATAAAATATGTAAACACTGGTGTCTGTTCCACATGAAAGCAAAATTCTTTTCACAACAATCAGATACTGATAATAATCTTGATGTGCTTTGTGAAGCAAATGTTCATTTCTTCAGGAGTGATGAAATCAAAATTCATATACACCAAAAAAGCTCAAGGAGTATCACAAGAACCAAAAACAAATCACTAAATGGCAGATGCAACCCAGGGCTATGTCAGGCATATCTTGGCTGGAAGCTGAAAGGTAGGGTAGGTCGCCCGCAGGGGCGGACTGACAACTCATGGGGCTCTCAGGCAATAGGGGTTCTGACGAAGTCTGCGGTGATTGGCGGACGAAACGCGTCAACGTATTGACGTCACTACGCTCGGCGTCTTCATAGGGTGCGGCGCCCATGAGGTGGGAAGGAACGGCGGTGTCACAGCTCCTTGCTAGGAAGGCACGAGGCCCTCTGAAAAAAACTACCATAAGGCTACTATTACAGCGGTTCGCAAACGGCAATCCCCTAGGGGAATATATCTTCCACCGGTGGCAAGTTATTTAAGCTTACAGCTGTCTAGATTTATAGAGCATATATGGAGTTAAGAAGGCATCTCATATGGGCCTAATTTACCCTGTATACACGGGGAATGTTTTGAAATCCTCTTCAGAGGATAACATATATATACATATATACACGCTATCCTATTCAGGCATTGTATGCTGTGACATAGCCATATCCTAATGAAACCGCTTCAATTTTCTCAGATTGAGTAATTTTTGAAAACCCTTTACTGGGTATATAGACTCAGGTTCTCACGGCCTGCTACATACATATTATATGTGTTTGGAATCTACGTACTGTGACTACCTGGCTTCCCACCCCCATATGCACCTTTGAACAAGCATCAAGGACCTGATCTTATTTCAAGTCGACGGGAGTCTTCTTGATCTTCATTGATGGTAATATACCCATATTGTGTTCCTTGTTTTCAGGGTTTACTTGATGCCTGTGATCTATACATTTATATTTATTTTTATATATATCCCCAGAATCATTTGGTACTGTGGACTTTGTTTCACTTGGGGTGGCTACCCAGGAAGTCCCTATATTTGAGAAGCGGGTATGACAGTCTTACAACTGAGAAGGTAATTGAAGTGTCCACTTATTGCTGTAGAGGGAGGCTTGGTGAGGCCTGGATGCGATTTAGCTCCTATATTCTCATACATACATTGTGTATTTTTTTGTGTTCCAGCTTTCACATACCAGGAGGTTCCTGACGTATATTGGGAATATATATCTGCTGTATACATGGCTCACTCTAATATAAGCTGGAAATTCATGGAAATCTAGGAGAATTACCTCACCATTACCCTATATTGCCATATATGGTGCTCTACTTGCTAAAATGACCCTATAATGAAGACGCCTAGTGCTTTTTAACATGATTTTATTTGTTTGACATGTTCACCGTGCTCATGTTTAACCTCCTTATGATCTATGTGATCAAATAAAGTATTGTCTGAATTTTTTGAATTCATATTACTCCGCGTGGATCATTTAGTAACCTTCTGTTTTCAGGTAGGGGTGCTCTTGTCACACTACCATATTGTTTAGTATGCACTTTCTGGGTTTATGGATCCACACTTATACAAGTGAGTCGGAGATATGATAATGACACCAGCTATTCGTGTCATTTTAGGTGGCTTGTTTCTGCTCTATTTTTGTGAAATAGGGGGATCATGGGGCCCCTGTGTCCTTGCCCAAACTCAAAAAAGCCTTTGAAAAAAGGTACCAGGGGCATCTCATGGGGCCCCCTACTGACCCCGGGCCTTCGGGCAGTGCCCGAGTTTCCAAATGGTCAGTCCGTCCCTGGTCGCCCGGCAGAGGCAAACAAAGAAGGCTTACAGAGGCAAGGTCAGCATATATGCAGAAATATATTAGAACCTGTCACAAACAGCCATAGAATGAAGACAATCATGTGACGTGGAGTGTGTCCAAAGACAGTTGTGCATAAACTCAACAAAAGTTCCATGCGCATCATTTGTTTCTAGTATCCCTACATATTATAAGAGAGCTTTCGTTGCTGCTTCTTCTGCCAGTGCCTTGCAACTGAATGTACAACAAGTGCAAAGAAATATGGTAACTCAGACACTTCCTGCTACCAAAGTTGACACCAGCATGAAATAAAAGATGTAAATCTGCTAGAAAAAGCCTAACTCCAACCAAAATGTTTTCAGGTTTGTTTTGAACAAGTCTTTCTAGAAGATCCTCACACTGTGGGGGGGGGGGAGTCCATGGAATCCTGTCAATAAAGGTAATGTGGTTGTCAGGAGTCTTGTCTCCTAATCAACATCCTGGAACTTCAATTTGGCCGTACCGAATTTGGCAGCTGGCTTGCCAGTTCCTTCCTTCCTTCCTTCCTACAACCAGCAATACGCTCCTGAACGCCGACAAAACAAACATCGGCACAAAAACGGAAAAATGCTGGAAAAAAAAACTAATATTTTTAGCAAGCGTTTTTTTATCCAGCGGTTTTCCGACTTTTTTTTTTTTTAGTTCCTAGTGTGCATGGAGCCTAAAGAGGGACTTTTCTTCTGCTCTAAAAAGCAGCCTCATAGATAATGAATATCCAGCTAAAGGAAGCCCCTGAATGTCTTTACTGGCCACCAAAAGAAGCAAAGAATTCACACCAGGGACTATCTGGTTTATAGAGGCAGACCCATTATACTGCTCAGGGACTAGGTATGCAACAATGTGTTGGAATGTAGACATGCTGTGGACCTTTTCAGCAAGGAACTGTTGGTTATCTCCTGCTAAAGACAATTTGCATAGCTGAAATCTGAAGAAAAAAAAAAAAAAATAGATTGGATCTTGTAAAAGTTATGCTCTTGAAAGAGATGTTGTCCACTAGGATCCACAAAGCCTACTCTCTTCACAGG